CTCTTGATACTCGGGTATCGGTCATCATAGGTGTACAGCATGCATGGGCAAAAGTGTCTCCCAGGAGCCACTATATAACATTTAACGCTATGTAACATTGTATAGGCGCGCATCTACATTTACGTATAGTGGGGAGAGCGACTAGTGTGGATTGCCCATGCCTGGTGTACACGTATGCATTCGAACGTACCTTTCGATTCGTCCGAAAGAACGTGCAAACTGACGCTCGAACTGCCGGCACTTTGCCCGAAGATGGTTACTCTGTTCGGGTCACCACCAAATTTCGCGATATTCTCCCTTATCCATTTCAAAACCGCCAATTGATCCTTCATCCCAGCGTTGCCCGCCGCGTGCGGATGATCCAGATACAAAAATCCTATAACGTTATTCTGTTGAATCTCGCCGATAAACGTCTTTGATTAAACGGAAGGAGAGTTAGCGTACCTAGGGCACCCAGCCGATAGTTGGAAGTAACCACTACTACGTCTTGTTCGATGAAAAAATCGGGACCGAACTCCGACGAATTAGCACATCCCTTAAGGAAGGTACCTCCATAAATCCAGGACATAACTGGCTTCAAAGCCGATTTGTCGTCGAATTTCGTCTGCGGAAAAAGTCGGTTCGATTACGAGAAACACGGATTAGGAAATCGAAAAGTATTACCTTAGGAGTAAACACGCTCAAGTACAGACAGTCTTCGTTTCCGTTATACGCGCCGTTGTTGTCGAGTTGAGGACACTGGCTAGCTTCTTCGACTGCATCCCGGACGTGATCCCACGGTTCCGGAGCAACGGGAGGCTACGGCAACGGTTTAAAACGAAATTAATAGACCGAGTGCACCGATAACGATGTTATTATTCCCTCGTGTAAGTTTTACCCTGAATCGGAGATCACCGATCGGAGGAGCGGCGAAAGGAATTCCTTTAAAAGACGAATATTCGATCGAATTCCATACAGTTTTTAATATCGCTCCTTGAACTGGTCCTGACTTCGTCTGAACCACGGCCGACCGACGAACGTCGGAACACTCGACGGATACGAGGAACAAAAACACTAGCAAGACCGTTCCCTTCATCTCTAAATTCTTCCGTAGCGTTTCGTTTGATTCGAATGCGGAAAGCGCTGCAATAAGACAGCTTTACATTCCCTCGGGCCACTCGCGACTCACGTCGTTAATGCCTTTTTACCTGACATTTATCTCATTTTAATTTATGACTATTAAGAAAATTGTTGTCAAAACGAAGGTTACCGTCGTTTATCTGAAGATGAGTTATCTACATACGTGACAAAGCATGTGGTTATATTTTTGTTCTTTAAGTATTTGTATATAGCTTCTGCAGAACTTCGCGTGCTGTCGTAATTTATATGTATGTATAAGTACTATTTTATATAAAATTCCTACAGTTAACTAGACTTTTAATTCCATGATGAATTATTGGATTATTAATTATAAAAGAAATACATTAAAGTAGTCGACATAAACGATGTTTTCGCAGCTGCTGACGATAGGTTCGATCAAATAAATTAAGCGTTCCCTCCAGATGACTAACTGATCGATCGCCCGATCGCTGTCTATCATACAAGAAACATCGTCAATGTTATGCATTTTTCCCGTCACTCTAGATGGTTTCTAAATTACGTCTTCGTTCAAAGGGCTCGCGTTTGCAGGTGTTGGATTTCTGTAAAAATTCAGGAAATCTCAACGTCACAGTTATTACGGAAGTTGATAGAGCGATAGGTTTTTGTAAAAAACCATTATGTAAACCATTTGCAATATCAGTTTAAAAACATTATTTTTATCCTTTAATGACTGATGTATGTATTTATCATTTGTTGTTCTGAATGTTATTCTGTATCAATGTTATACTTAACAGCAATGTATAATTTTCTTCAAGGTAGAACAAGAAAATTATAAGTACTCTTATCTCGCGAAGTAAGTTCACGTGGAAATGTTTTACGTCGGAATCGATTAAAAGTTTATCTATAGTCTAACGTAACGTCAGCGGCACGTGAGTCTCCGTAGGTCGTAGGTTGTAGGACGTACGTTCGCCAGCGGAACTAGTGCTGTAGACTTTAGGACAGTGTATAGGGAAAAGCTAAAGAACTCTCGAAGCAGATAGTGGACGTTAAACAGCAGGCAGTCCGCCTGTCGTGGGCCAAACGTGGGCCCCTGAGTTCCTTGGTTTTACACGCTTTTGGTCACGACACGACGGTGGTCAATGTCGAACCTGGAACTGCTTCGTATCTCCTTCGAATCATCGAGTTCGACGAGTGTCCGAAACTCGACGAACAGATGCAAACACATCGGCAAAATCGAACCGCGCATCTCCACCGGTTTAGATTTTCTCGCGTTGTTGCAAAATGCAACGCTCGTACGATATATAAAATTGGTTACCGCGTCATTGCATCGGCTGATAATTGTGTCGACAGATAAGGGCAAGGTTTACCCAGGGACGAGTCGCATTTACTAAAACGCATAAAGTTATGAAGTACTTGTACGTATACATGCTCGAGGAGTGCGAGATAGTCGCTACAATTATCGTAGAAACTCAGAACTGTTTGTACGAAAGAATTAAGATTCGAAGAAACAAGGAATATTGTTTTTCTTACGATGCCTAAACCTAAGAAAAATAGCATGACGAACTGTCGGTGTTTGATAGCAAGTTCAGCTGCATCGATTATTTACTTTAAATGCGTTAGTCAACGATTTCGATACGAAACGAGATGGACGTAAAAATGAGGAAAGGAAGGATTGAAGAATATACGAATACAATCTTTTTGCTGCTCACATCATTATATTTTTAAATTCGATACATCTTTTTAATGAAAGTGGGACAAAAATAAATGCCGATCGAGATTCGGCCATCGAACTATTTGCATTAGTGCAGTTTAATGCCTCCCTGACCAGATCCGAGGCCATTGCTACTGACACTGCCGCTAACACCAGGAAGAACAAAGCTGCCACTGTTGGAACTACTACTGCTGGAGCTATCACTGTTGGAACTACTATGGCTACTGCTACCTCGATCACAACCACCTTGGCTGCTACCATCTTCGTCATTACCACCGTAACGCGAATGGACATTATCACTGCTGCTACCACCCTGACTACCGTTCTGGCTGCCACTAGTGCTGGAGCTACCACCTTGGCTACCACCCTTGCTGGAACCGCTACTGCCACCGGAAGTGCCTCCTTGACCGCCAAAGGAAATGCCTCCTTGACTGCCACCGTTACCGGAAGTGCCTCCTTGACCGCCAATGGAAATGCCTCCTTGACTGCCACCGTTACCGGAGCTACCACCTTTGCTTCCATTGTTGCCACTGCCGGAACTTCCACTGCTGCTACCACCATGGCTACCACCCTTGCTGGAACCGCTACTGCCACCGGAAGTGCCTCCTTGACCGCCAAAGGAAATGCCTCCTTGACTGCCACCGTTACCGGAAGTGCCTCCTTGACCGCCAATGGAAATGCCTCCTTGACTGCCACCGTTACCGGAGCTACCACCTTTGCTTCCATTGTTGCCACTGCCGGAACTTCCACTGCTGCTACCACCATGGCTACCACCCTTGCTGGAACCGCTACTGCCACCGGAAGTGCCTCCTTGACCGCCAAAGGAAATGCCTCCTTGACTGCCACCGTTACCGGAAGTGCCTCCTTGACCGCCAATGGAAATGCCTCCTTGACTGCCACCGTTACCGGAGCTACCACCTTTGCTTCCATTGTTGCCACTGCCGGAACTTCCACTGCTGCTACCACCATGGCTACCACCCTTGCTGGAACCGCTACTGCCACCGGAAGTGCCTCCTTGACCGCCAAAGGAAATGCCTCCTTGACTGCCACCGTTACCGGAAGTGCCTCCTTGACCGCCAATGGAAATGCCTCCTTGACTGCCACCGTTACCGGAGCTACCACCTTTGCTTCCATTGTTGCCACTGCCGGAACTTCCACTGCTGCTACCACCATGGCTACCACCCTTGCTGGAACCGCTACTGCCACCGGAAGTGCCTCCTTGACCGCCAAAGGAAATGCCTCCTTGACTGCCACCGTTACCGGAAGTGCCTCCTTGACCGCCAATGGAAATGCCTCCTTGACTGCCACCGTTACCGGAGCTACCACCTTTGCTTCCATTGTTGCCACTGCCAGAGTTACCGCCAGTGCTGGAAGATCCACCGTTGCTACCACTTTGGCTACCACCCTTGTTGGCACCGCTACTGCCACCGGAAATGCCTCCTTGGCCACCAATGGAAATACCTCCTTGACTGCCACCGCTGCTAGTGCCGATATGGTGGCCAGAGGCATGGCCAAACTGGGTGATACTGGATATGCCACTGATAACGCTACTGGTTACGGAACCCAAAGACAACACGAATTCATACGCTCCTTCAAAGGCAACGAAAATCGGATTCAGGAAACGCAAGCCCATCGAAAACTCTTTGCCAATATCCAACTGGTTTCCGTTATATCCAGAGGCAACCCATTTCACGCCACCGGTTACGGAAGCGGATATGGCGGATTCGCTGAAAATATAATCCGATGTGATCATCGAGTATACTTTTAACTACGGGTATCGATCGCGACAAATGTTTATTGATATATACGCGATATCTTGGATACGAAATGTACAATGCTTTTTTACTTACGAGTCTTTGGCGAAGCTGACCCACATTCCGACAACCTTGCTGCGCATTTGGTTCAGGGCGCTCGAGACCTTCTTGGAGAATTGTACTTGACGACCGTACAACACGCTAAAGTCTGCAGTGAATTCTTCACCAGCTGCGAATTAAACGATCGAATAAGATTCGAATTACATACGTAGCTGCCTGATCGAAAATGATACCGACGTATCGCAGAGACCGGTACGTACCTTGTACAGCGCCGTCGTAGAGTTCGTGCAAGTTCTGTTCGGTTTCGAGGGACATACGGTAGAAGTACACAGGGATACTTCCCGCGACTTGGACCAGGTACTTTTGCATGAGATCGATGGCCATGGAGTAGTAATAGGCAGTGGACGTCTAAAAAACGAAAATCGGATCGTTTTTCGTTTCGTGCAGACGCATTTGCGACACGTTTCGTTGCTTACCTCCACTATGTGCGTGTCTTCAATAATGTTGCTCACGCCGTCGATAGCGGTTCGAATTCCAAATTCGAGCAATGGAATAGCCTTGGAGATACCTTGGATACTGGAGGAGACAGCGTTCTTGAGAGCCTCGGTGCCTGCGATTAAAAATGTGCGACTCAAAATCGAATTACGATTATTCTATATTATGTTAGGAGCTGTGATAAACGATTGCACAGTTGCACAGCGTAAAATGCATCGAAATTGTTTACCCGCGGTAATGAGAATTGCTTCCACTTGGTTGAAACCAAGCATCACCGGACAAGAGTTGATATTTCCGTTTTTAAACAATTTAGCGGGTTCAGACGTCAGCCATTCCTCGATTGTAACACCGAATTGCACGGAAAGAGGTCCCTATGTGAAACAAACGTACGAGTTTTGAACTTTCAACTACACTTCGAGTGTACGTGTGTACGTAGAGTCAGAAAATAAAAGTACCGGCAACAAACTCAAGGCGTGGACACTTTGAACGAGTGTCTCGGCGGAAACTTTTTGCAGAGTTTCCAAAATAACTTCATGACTCGCTCCAGCAGCAGCTCCGAAGAGTTCGGCGAGTTTGCCCGCCGCACTGATCAGCTCGCTGCGTGATTTAAATGCCCAGGGGCAGAGAGGCGAGCCACTGTGGTGAATGGTTTTGTGGAAGAGACCCTTCGATTGAGGCAAGGCCATGTGGTAGCCGACGTGAGCGCTGCTCGAGCCCTCTCCGAACAGAGTTACTCTGCCAGCATCGCCACCAAATTTCTCGATGTTCTTTTGAACCCATTTCAAAGCCAAGTTCTGATCCTTGAGACCGGCGTTACCCGTAGCTCCCTTGACGTCCGTCGCCAAGTATCCTGAATGAATAAGAATAAATATGAATTCGAAATTCGTAAATGGAACACGAACTACTGCGAACGATTCTTACCCAATACGTCCAGACGATGTGCGACTTTAACCAAGACGACGTCATGTTCGAGGAAGAACTCATGAGCATTTTGATCCTGCAGACCGTATCCGGTCAGGAATCCGGAACCGTAGATCCATACCAAAACTGCTTTCTTTTCGGCGAAGCTCTCGAAGCTCGTCTATGAAGAGCGAAAAACAGACAGAGATAGATACAAATGAACCAGATTTTTATGACAAAGAATTACTTACGTGAGGAGTGTGAACGTCGACGTAAAGACAATCTTCCTCTCCCGCGGTGGTACCGTTGCCGACGTGTTGCAAGCACACGGGCTTCGGCTTAGTGCAATCCAACACGTGGGACCACGCCTCAGCTTCGACGGATTCCTATGATCGCGATAATTTCGTCAGCTTCTCGTTCGAAATTTATAACCGTGTGGAAAAGGAGAAATAGCTCGGAAAACTAAAACTTACCTTGAATCTGAGCTTGCCTACCGGCGGTTGCGCATAAGGAATTCCTCTGAAGCTAGTGTAATTGAAAGATCCCGAAACCGAGAGGCTGATCGAACCGCTAACTGCTCCCTTTTCGGTCTGGACGACCTGGGACTGTACGCAGTTCGCAACGGCTGCGAGAAGCACGATACCAAAGACGAAAAGGTCTTTCATTTTAGCTGACTGTATTCGTCTACTGAAGATCGAGCTCGCCCCGGTCAATTTATATACCGGTCGAAACATAAGTTCTCAAACATTGTCTATTGTTCGCCGATCAGCGAGCAAAGACGTTAATATATTTATGCTGGTTGTATTTGAACGATAAATTTGTCAGTCGTTGGCGTCAAATGCAACTAAGACACGTACATGCAATTTTTTGTACGGTTAATGCATAAGTCATCCAACGAATAGTCAAAAGTATAATAAATATCGACGCACACGTACACGTGTTGATGGATCGAGCCACGAGTTTCCTTGTTCCTCTAAACTGTTAAAAGCTGTGTGCACTTTTAACGGTTCTTTATAATTCGATTATTAGTCAGTCGTAATGTAGTTTATTATCGCGTGTATCGTAACGTTTATACCTTTGACGTTGTTATTTACCTATGTTATGTGAACGCTGAAAATATTACCATACGCACCAAGCCCGAAGATACATAATTATTTTGCTCATATCGTTCCGAGACACAGAGCAGGAATCGCACGTTTACTACTCGACAAAATTTCAGTTTCTACTCTAAATTTTTAGATGATTTGGGTTTCGGCAAGGATCTTCGTACACATATAATATTGTAGGACAATATCCTGCGCAGGATTTTGTTAAACTATTCCACATATTTGCTCTTAATATCGAGCATTTCTCATTGAACTGCAGATTCAATAAATTTAGAGATAAACTGCCTTTATTTATTTATATTTAATTATACGGGCATTAGCTCTTTTTTATAATAGATATAATGCAGCCTTATAACTATAATTAATAATTAAAACTTAATTTAAAAATTAATTCTGCCGCGTATGGGACCTTCGACAGTTTGCACCACTCCAGTCATACGTTGGCATTCGACGGATGCCAGTATCGTGACTACCGATAAGAGAATCGGGAAACGGAACATGTCTTATCTCTCTACGATCTATGCCGTTTTCGTCAACTTGTACTAACGATAGTTTGCGAAAATAGTGAAAACGCGAATTTATAGTCGCGTTCGTGCAAAAACTATGCGTCACAATGTCGTAAATCTTGGCGATTGTAACGTATATTGTAACACCTCGCTCGATTACTCACCAAACCAACTGCTCTTGATGTTTTTATGTATAAAACATACGTTGAGAAAAATAATCGAACAATAGAAAAAAAGAATTCAAACTGGCACCTAGTTTGAATTCTACATTGGCTTTTTGTTTTAAGCCGATTCCTATTACTATTAAAAAGCTAAAATTATAGTGATTTCAAATTTTTCATAGGTAATAGTATCACCTACAACTTTTACTTGAAGCATTTTTCGATATTTTGAGAAAAAAAAAATTTTCAATTTTTCCGAGATTTTTCCAAGGGGTACCCCTTCAGATTTCGCGAAATTTTCGTTTTTTGTCAATAACTCCCAAATCGTTGGACATACAGAAAAATTGCATATGACCTTTCTTGTAGAGGACGATGAGATCTACAATTTCCATGTAAAAATTTTTCGCTAGCATCAATAGTTAACGAGTAATTTGGAAAAAACTGTTTTTTAGTTTTTCGTCAATAACTCGTTAAATACTAATG